AAGAGAAAGAAATAAAAGGAATAAAGATAGGAATGGAAGAAGTGAAACTGTCATTATTTGCTGATGATATGATACTTTACATAGAAGACCCAAAAAACTCTGCCAAAAGACTTCTAGACTTAATTGACAGATTCAGAAGAGTATCTGGATACAAGGTCGACACTCAAAAAACAATAGCCTTCTTGTACAGAAATAATAGGCTCACTGAGAGAGAAATTACGGAAACAATTCCTTTTACAATAGCATCCAAAAAAGTGAAATATCTAGGAATCAATCTAACAACGGAAGCAAAAGACCTCTACACTAAAAACTACAGCACTCTGAAAAAAGAGATCAAAGGGAACAATAAGAAAATGGAAAGACATCTCTTGTTCCTGGGTAGGAAGAACCAATATAGTGAAAATGGCCATACTTCCAAAAGTACTATATAGATATAATGAAATGCCCATTGAAATTCCAACAATATATTTCACAAAACTAGAGAAAACAATCCAAAAAATTATTTGGAACCAAAAGAGACATAGAATAGCAAAAGCAAATCTAGGCAACAGAGACATGGCAGAGGTATCACAATCCCCAACCTGAAACCATATTACAAAGCTACTGTGATAAAAACAGCATGGTACTGGCAAAGTAACAGACCTGAGGATCAGTGGACTAGATTAGAATATGCAGAATCAACTCCAGACATATTCAGCCACCTTCTCTTTCACAAAGGACCCAACCACCCTCACTGGAAGAAAGATAGCCTATTTAACAAATGGTGTTGGAAAAACTGGATTTCAACCTGCCAGAGATTAAAACTAGACCCATATCTATCACCATGCACTAAACTAAGATTGAAGTGGATTAAAGATCTAAATATTAAAACAGAAACACTAAACTTGCTGGAAGATAAGTTAGGTAGAACTCTTGAGGACATTGGCATAGGAAAAGACTTTATGAACAAAACCTCAGAAGCATGGGAAATAGCACAAGGAATCAACAACTGGGATCTCATCTTATTAAAAAGCTTCTGCACTCCAAGAGAAACCACCAACACAGCTAAGAGAAAACCTACAATGTGGGAAAAAATTTTTAGCAGCTGTACCTCAGACAAAGGACTACTATCTAGAATATATAAAGAACTGAAAAAAATCAGACCCCCCAAATTTAAAGACTCAATTCAAAAATGGGCATCTGAAATGAACAGACATTTCTCAGACAAAGAAGTAAAAGCAGCAAATAAACATATGAAAAAATGTTCAACATCACTGTTCATTCAAGAGGTGAATGGGTGAGATTCCACCTCACCCCACAAAGAATGGCTGCTACCAAAAAATCAACCAATAACAAAGGCTGGCAGGGGTGTGGGGAGAAAGGAACCCTTCTCCATTGTTGGTGGGAGTTCAGACTGGTGCAACCACTGTGGAAATCAGTATGGAGATACCTCAAAGAACTAGGACTAGAGGTCCCATTTGACCCAGCTATTCCCCTGCTGGGTATCTTCCCAAAAGAATTAAAAGAATCATACCACAGTGATATATGTGCACCCATGTTTATAGTTGCACAGTTTGTAATAGCTAAAGTTTGGAGACAGCCCAGGTGCCCATCAACTGGAAACTGGATAAAGAAAATGTGGGTTTTTTATGAAATGGAGTACTACTCAGCCATAATGAAAGACAAACTGGAGACATTTATAGCTAAATGGATGCATATTGAAGCCATACTCTTAAGTGAAATGATAGGACACACATATGTAAGTACCAAATGGTTTTTCTGGTGTGAGAAACTGAAAGTATAAATAAGGATTAAAATGATTAAAATGAATAATTGGTATTGTGAAATAGGAAGATCCAAAGTGGTGAGGGAAGTGGGAGGGGAAGGGGAAAGGAAAGAAGGGAAAGGAAAAATTATAAGAAAAGGAAAAAATAGAAACAAAATCTTTGTAAATAGTGAAGGGTGGAGTGGGTGAAGGGAGGGCAGGGGAATGGGGAAATAATAAGAACCAAGATACATCATGTATAGGTAAAAGTACCCAATGATAAATGTAAATGTATTGTATACCTAAAATGTACCAATAAAAGAATTTAAGGGAAAAAAAAGCTGTAGGTACTCGCTGCTGTGTGTGCATATGACTCTCCCTCCTGCTGGTAAGGTTCTTCCATCTACTCTTCAAGAGATGTATGGGTCACTGTGAGAATGTGACCACTTCCATTTACCTGGGAGATGAGGGTGTCACAAGCAGAAGACAAGCCATGTCCCACAGAAATGCCAGTGACATTGATAATCTAGAAATAAACCATATAAGCCAGACAGAGTTAAAAGGATAGGAAGGTCAATTCTCTTCCCCTGCCATGTTCTTCCATAAGTATTAACAAACCAATTTAATCACCTTTGTTAAAAGCATGGAGACCCTGCTCACATTCATTGAGCTACCTTAAAGGACATGCATAAATTCTGAGAGGGACAAAAAAATCTATGCAAGAGGTTATCACACAGCCTTCTTGTGTTCTGCACTCCAGCTCAGGGGGTCATGAACCAGTTTGGACACTGGTTTGGATCTAGACCTTCTCATTCCATTTCCAGATTAGGATGTTCAGTGAGATTGACAGGAGTGGGGTGTGGAGGAGCTGGCTCCTCTTAATGATGTCATATTTTTGAGTTCTCTTTTACAATTTCCTTCTCTCAGATATGGGACCAGAGCAGAAATCAGAGCTCCACAGATTACAAATTGCATGATGCGGCCATCAGAATAATACCCCCCAAAGATGCCCCCATTCTAACCCCCAGAACCTGGGAATCTGTGGGATCACACAGCAAAGGAGAATTATTTAAAGGTGCAGTCCTGTGGCATTTTGACTTTAAACCTATTTAAACCCAGTTCAAACTTCCCTGAGATAGCCACTTGGTTGTGTCAGTTTGTTACAGCGGCAGGAGGAAACAAACATAGGCAGCTTTCATCAACCCACTAGAAAGACTCATACATACTGCAATTGCGAGTGTGACAGCGTCCAGTTCCAGCTTGCCCAGGTGGCCACAGAACACAGAGCTGATGAAACTGATCAGGAATATCATCAGCTGGGCCAGGAACTGGGAAGAGAGGGGATGAGGAGAGGTAAGTACCAAGCACAGAATCCAGGGGGTGGCCCAGTGCCCTCCCCACCCAACTCCAGTGGGAAGTAAAGAAGTCCAGATCTCAGTGAGCCACCACCAGCTTCCACGGGCAAATGTACAATTTCTGAGGGACTCTTTGAAATAGTAAAATGTTTATCTGCAACTACTGGGTTAGAATCCCATTTTTTAATTTTTAAAAAGTCTCTTAATTGGCACCTGTCTATCTTGCCCCATTGACTGTTGGAACTGTTTAACTTTCTTTTCATTTTTACTGGGGTCTGTCTGCAGCTAAGAGTTTGACTTAAATCGCAGAGGAGGCTTTGGGCTTAGACTTTTCGGCAATGCTGAAACTGTTTGGACTTTAGCAACTCTTAGACATGGACTAAATGTCTTTTGCATAAAGGAATGTGCATGAGTCTTTAGGGGGCCAGGGGTGGAATATTATGGCTTCTATCTAGATTTCCTCCCAAAGCCTCACGCAATCATAGGTGGGGCTTTTTCAGAAGTATCTGGGTCTAGAGTGTGTGACACTGGGATTGATTCATGGTGCAATGCTAGGCGCAAGGGCCCCAGGATTAAAGGTGTGAGTGCTACCCACCATATGTAGCCTGGATAACACATAAGGGAAAGAAAGAGCTGCAGTCATCCCTTGTTGCCTGCTACCTTCTGCCTGCCATGAACTATTTCTCCTCTCCAATACCACCCTGACTTGGAGCCAGCTGATTATGGATTGAAACCTCTACAAACTGTGAGCCAAATAAATCTTTCCTCCTTTAACTTTGGGTGCTGGGTATTTTGTCTCAGCAACAAGGAAAGTAACTAAGACAGCACACAATAATTTACATGCTTGTGGTGTACAGTGTGATATTTCAGCATCATGTACCCTGTATAATAATGAGATCAGGGTAAGTGAGACATCCATCACCTTCAACATGTATCATTTCTTTGCACTGGAAACATACAAAATCTTCTTTACTGGCTACTTTATGCAATTAATTGTTCTCAACTGTAGCTACCCTATGGTGCAAGAGAATATCAGAAGCTCATTCCGGCAGACTGGGGCTGGAGGATCTCAAGTTCAAACCCAGCCAAGGCAATTTAAGAACTTAGTGAGATCCTGTTTCAAACTAAAACACAATAAAGGGCTGGAATATAGCTCACTGTGAAAGCCCTGAGTTCAATCCCTTGTACCACAAAAGTTATTCCCCCGTTCACTTGTACCCCTGTATCCATTAACTAGCTTCTCTCCATCCCCTCCAGAATCATGTTTTTTAAAATTTCCCAGTCTTTTTGGTGTCTTTTTCACTTTAATTTCTTACAACAAAGAGCACACTGTTTCTTCTGAAGTTTTCAGAGGCTGCCTTCTTGGAAAACCCCCTTATTATCCCAGATTCCTAGTGAGGATTCCTAGTGAGGATTCTGGAGAGAAGGTGGCCTTTAACATCAAGAACTCACTCCAGCCACCAAGGCATTCCACACCTAGGAGGGATGGGTGGGAATACCATTATCCAACTAGAAGGCTGGTGAGATCCAAGCATCCCGGGGAAATGCTACCAGTCTGTCCTGCACCTCTCATTCTTTAATTCTATGAAGGCTCAGATATGAATGCAAACTCAGCTTCTGGGATACTGGGCCATTCTTCTAGTGACTGCTGTGAATCATTCCACAATTGAACACTCAGCTTATTTCTTGAGGTTAATTTAAAACCAACTCCTGCTTCCCCACCTGCTAGCCCCAGGCAGTCCAATTATCTTGCTCCAGTGGGGAAGAGGGACTGTTGGCCCAAGAAGGGGTCCATCTGACTCCCACTGCCTAGGAGGAGAGAATAGGTACCTAAGGATTTGTTGTGGCTGCACCACGGGGCCCCTTTCAAAAACTGACACCCCAGGATGGTGACCATGCTGCTGTTCCAGCTTCAGTGCTGCCTCACAGGCTTCAGGGACATGGGCTCCTCTGTGCTGAGCTCCAACACACCTTCTCCTTGGGCTCCAGTGATACAGCTCCTTGTGTTGGCCTCCACCTGACTCATGTATAGCCTGTCTGCCTGTCCTGTAGCCACCCCAAAATTGCCACAGCAGAAGCTGATTAGGGTTTTATTAGGCCCCCAAACCATGATAGAATAGCTTCTTTCTTTCCTTGCTCAGCATCTACATCTGAGAGACAGTTTTCAACTCTGGTAATAGGCCCAGTCCTTCAAAACATGAATTGGACTGTCACAGTGGTGCATGCCCATAATCCCAGCTTAGTAGGCTGAGGTAGGAGCATTCTAAGATTGAAGCCAGCCCAGGATAAACAGTAAGACCCTGTTTCAAAAAAAACAAGGAATAACAAAAAAGGAATGGTGTTCTTAACTCCGTGTGTCTCTGTGTGTGTGTGACACACATGCAAAAGTAAGAGACATATCTTTGTTACATTGACTCCCAGACCCAGACCCAGGTACCTTTCACCCTGCTGCAGAAACGAAGTGTGAACTTATTTTCCAACAGAGCCTCCTGCTAGTAAACAGAGGAATGCTTCTGTATTATACAGGTAAGCCTAAATAAAATGAGCAGGGAGTAAAAACGGAGCGGGCAGAGCTGTAAATTAAAAAGGCTGGGCTTGGGAGTGTACATCAGTGGCACAGTACTTGCCTAGCAGGCACAAGGCCCTGGGTTTAATCCTCAGCCCTGCAAACAAATAAAAATTAATTTTTTAAAGAAGTCGAAATGTTCAACCTGATTTTGCAGAATCTAAAGCTAGAGCCATTGGATCACCCACCATAGCCATGTACCAGGACACAGTGCCATGATGTAGGTGTTGTCACTTCCCTTGCAGATATTCTGTGGTTCATTCAGCGACACTTGCTGTCTCTTCACAGTTCTGCCTCCCCGAAGGCCCCATGTTTCCGTGGCTTCATGTGAGAACATGCTCAGGCTCCCCTGCCATCCAGCCTTTGGAGCGCAGCCCAGATTTTGCTTTCATAAATCCTACTGCAATGAACATCTCTCACTTGGGTGGGAACGGGGCATTTTTTTAGGGTGAGTGCCCAGTGCAAGGGCGGGAACAGATGTCTCTTATACAAAAGGCCAGGAAGTCAAGCTGAGTTCAACTCATTCCTGGAGAGGTACCTTCAGAGTCAATGCCAGCCAAAACAGCTTCTTGGTGAAGGTTGCCACTGCTTTCCTTCGGTTATGGCAATAACTCTGCACTCACTGGCCATTATGGTTTATAACTGGATATCCCCTCAAAGCCTCAGGTGCTCAAAAGTGGGGCATTTGAAGGGGATCGGTTACAGAGACACAACAACTGACTTTCTTTTAGGAGGTGGGGTCTGAAGGTGTAGGTCACTGGGGGCATGACTCAGATGGGTGTATCTCCCTTCCCAGCTCCTCCCTTGACTCTCTGCTTCCTGGCTGCCATGAGGTGAGCAACTTTCCTCTGCCAGACGCTTCTACCATCCCTACCTTCCTTGGCGTCAGCCAACTACAGACTAAAAACATGAGCCAAAATAAACCTCTCCTCCTTTACACTGTGGGTATTATGTCTCATCCATGAGGAAAGTAACGAAGACCCTGTGGGCGGCTGCAGGTAGCCAGCCCCACTCAAGCCTCAGTTCCAGGAGAACAGGGCTCTGGAGGTTAAGTTTACTAACTTTTTTTACTAACTTCTGCACAGATCCTGGTTTCAAGTCTTTGGATGAACTCCTGGCCACAGATCATGGTCCGTGCACACAAGGATCACCTGGGGTACCCTGGCCCATTTCAAGAGACAGATTTAAAATGATAAAGGATGGATAGAAAAGGACAAGGGGACAGATCACTTGCAATAGGGAAGGGGTCCAAGGGAACAAGGGGAAGGGGTGAGGAGGAGGGGAAGGGGAAATAAGAAGAATAAAGATGTGCCACATACGGGAACCTAACAACCCCAATTAATGTAAACATTATGTGCCATAACATGAGCTAAGACAGATAACATCAACAAGTATGATAAAGGTGATAGGGGAATGGGGCAGGGGAGGGAAAGGGGATTGAAAAATAAAGAAACTATAATATGTACACACATGTAACCACTCCCCAAGATGATTGTAAACTGCATGAATTGCAAACGTGTATTAATAAAATTTAAAAATTATTTTACAAAACCATCTTGAAAAAAAGAGACAGATTTAGAAGGTCTGGGGGCTAAGGGATCTGCATTTTCATACACGTTCCACCCCTACCCCCAGCAAAGATTCAGGAGGTCAAAGACCTTGCTCTGAGAATGTTCTGGGCTCTTTGGAACTGTGCTACCAGGAGGCATGCCGGGGAACTCACTGAGAGGATATAAGAAATAAAGATAGGTTGAAAGGAGACAAGGAAAATCATAATTTAAAATCTGTACTTTTCAGAAGACTGCAAATTCAGGACACAAAGTTACCCAGGGTTATCCATATCTGTACTCGCTAGACTTGTTTATGCTTCTTTTCTTTCAGCTGCATCATATCCAATATCCTTAAAGATACTTTAGGTCCATAAATTAGCTTAATTCATAAGATAAACAGCAGAATCCTGACCTTTAAAAATATAAATATAAAATAGATTGGGCCCCTGACTTTCTCCTATAAAATATGAAATGAGTCATTATCTTACTATTGTGGGTGGGCCATTGATTTTTCTCCTGTAAACCAAACCCAAACTTTCTATAGATTTATAAATTTCACCATCAAAAACACATAAATATCCCCAGTTCCAGACTGTAATGCACCTCTCTCTGGAGGGCCCGCACTCTACTTCTCTGGATGTATACTTTTAAAATTCTGCCTAATAAATCCCCTTATGCCTTTTTACTGATGCATCCTGAAAATCCTTTTTCTGTGATGGAAGTCAGCAAAACTGCAACCTGTGCTGCAGTAGAGTGAGTCAAGGTTTCCCATCTCTGCTTTAGGGACCTCCTTAGACCCTTTCTGATGACATCACCATTTCTGGACAAAGGTTTGTTCCCTATAATTCTCAAAGGCAACTGTTGAACAAGCAGTGACCTGAACTGGCAGTGCTCAGATAGAGGCAAATGGACAATGGAAACTAAGGCTGGGGTGTAGCTAAGTGGAAGAACATGTTCCCTGAGGTCCATCCCCAGCACAACCCCAAATCTATCAGACTGACTACACTTCTGTCCCTTCTTCTTATCCAGGATCTTTCTCATTTTTTAGCCAGGCAGCAACATACAACCTGGTCGCAAGATGACCACTCTTACAGCACAGCCGCTTGTGAAAGTTGTTCTCCAGGCAGCTGCCTGCCCAGTTGTCCATGCAAGGGTGTGAAAAGGACCTCTGACCCCATCCCATGGGGACTTGAAAGTCCACATTTAGCAGTAAAAGGTCAGCATGGAAAGGAGCCTGGGCAGTCAGTCATCTGGGACAACTTCCTCTTTGTACACACAAGGAAGCTCCGGGCCAAAGTCACCTGACTCAATTCAGTCCATTCAGGACAACTACTTTTGGAGCACAAAATGCAACCCAAGCACTGGGGCTGTGTGTGAGTTAAGTAAGCACCATCACTCCATTCCTACCCCGTGGAACCCATAGCACAGAAGAAAAGATGTTGAGGTTGCAAGTACACATGTGTGCTGAGCTAGAAGGGCACAGAGGGAGAGACAGAGAAGGTCCCAGGAGGCAGCAAAGTGGAGCTGAACCCTGATGGACTTCTCAAGTAGAGATGCAGTGACCACTGACAGGAAGCTGGTCAGTGGAGGGCCACTGGAGGCAGTGACACAAGAAAAGGCAAGAGTCTCAGTGGGGGCCAAGCCACTGAGCACTTTAAGGCCAAGGTCAGGGTTTTGAGCAGGGATGTGACAGCTTAAGTGAGCATTCAAAAAGGACTTCAGTGGCTCTACGTGGTACATTTTGGGCAGCATGAGCAAAACGGGGCAGAGACTGGAGGCTGTCAGGATGTACCCAGAGTGGAGATGTGAAGAGTTAAACCCCTCTAAGAGATTTTCAGGATGCTAAAACCAGAGGCTTTGGTAAGGATGGGCTGCAAAAAAACTGGAGAGGAAGGAAAGAGGGTCCCAGGCCCCTCTCTCCAATGGCCACCATCATTGAATGCTTCCTACTCCCACTCACTCACCCTTTGACCTGTCTGGAAGAGGAACCATCTTCTATACTTTCCTCTCCTTTAGCCCGGATTCTCTCCTGTCCCTAGTAACCTTCCCCTGTCACTAACCACTCCCTGCTAAAGATTTCCCCAGGCCTGAGACAATTCAAACTGTCAGCCTGCGTGTGTGCGTGCGTGCGTGTGTGTGTGTGTGTGTGTATGTGTGTGTTCTGGCTCCCATCACTGGATGCCACCCCCAGCCTTGCCTGATCTTCAGACTATAGCCCTGGGAGGTTCTGAAACTCTTTCCCAAGAATATGGGCCTAGACAGTCCCATCTTTAGTACATCAGTCCATGCCCCTTGGAATCCATCTTTGAGGTTGTTTTTCAGGATTCTGACAATTCAGCCTGGTAGGAGATGCTAATGACAAAGAGAAAGTGTGCAGGGAATGCCTGAGGCAAGGTATTTGCACAACACCACTTTCTTCCCTCTCAAGTATCTGCTTTCCTAAAGCCTTCTGCAAGACAAAATGAAGAGAATGTAAAGCTATTCATCCTACAGTCTTTCTTTTACAGTATGGATTATTCTATCTTACAAGACCTCATTAAACTGGACACAGTGGCACAAATCAATAATCTCAGTACTCAGAAGGCTGAGGCAGGAGGGTGGGAAGTTTAAGGCCAGCCTGGGCTACATAGTGAGATCCTGTCACAAAAGAATAAAGAGAGGGGGTGGGGCTTCATTTAAGGCTCACTGGGAAAGTATCTTGGTAAATCTTAATGCTCTTAAGGGTCAGAGATAACACGATAACTTGGGAAGTCCGGAAAGAAAATGGTGAATGAGAAAGAAGATTTGGAGAGAGGCGCACCAGACTAGTCATCCTGTATTTTATGGTAGAGCCACAGAAAAGAATACTGGACACTGAGCATAGGAAAAGAAGACAATCTCCTCCCACCCTGTGTCCTTCAGGAATTAGGAAATTCACAGGAGATGGGGATAGGGATGAAGAAAGACTAAATGAGGCTCCATACATAATTTTTAAGAGACTAAACCAGTGCCAGAAGTCTCTGACCACATTTTTTGCAAAGCATTCACAGAAACATGTACACCAAGGACTGGAGGGAAATTGCCAAATTATCTCCTGGTAGTAAGAGTCAGAGGGATAGATAAGATGTTAATTGCTGGATCATTCTTTAGATTTACAAAACCCAGCTGATATCCTTAGCAAGGAGCCCTAGTTTTCAGTTCTTTGCATCAATAACACAAAGCATGTAAAAACAAACAGCTAGTCCCAGGAATTTGCGGTCTATTTCCATGTTCTGGAGAAGAAGAAAAAAAAAGGATTTTAAAGGCCTAGCTCAGCATGTAGCTTCCTGGCCTGCTCCTCCATTCTTTTTGGCCCTGATGTCCCCCAACATGGAGCTTTGCAGTGATAGCTTCTCGGTCGTCTCAAGATTGCTGAACCTTGAACAGATACTATTCCTTCCTTCCAACTTTCAGCTCACAAATACTGGCCTTCCAGCCCTGGCCACCCGGACTTTTAATCCCAGGATCAGAGTCCAAAGAGCCCCCAGATCTTGAGATTCCAAACCAACAGTTCTTTCCAGTCTGCCGTGCATCACAAACGCCTATGCACTGGATGCATTTCCACACGTGGCTCTGTGCTGGGCGTTGATCATGTTGCCCTGCTCCCCACACTGGATATCACCATATCCCACGAACAACAGTGTCACCACCGTTCCAGGAAGGCACACCTGCCTATGCAGGTGCAGAAGTCTGCCCCATGGACAAAAGCGTATCTTGGGGCAAACACACACTTGCTGCTTCATGTCCAGTGAAGCGGCTCCCCTACCGCTGGGGCTTGAAAACCACCCAAACTGGCAAGAGAACAGGAATAGGATTGTATGTGTTGTGATTTTTATGGTTTTAAGAACCCACATTACTTTTTAAGGCTAAAAGAGGCCTTGTCTAATGATATAAAACACACGCGCGCCACGTCAGCCCCAAAGAGAACCACATTGCAAAGAAATAAAATTCTAAGCGTTAGTTGAAGTAACTTTTGCCTCGTTCGTTGGAATCTGTGTCCAAAGACAACATCCGCGGGGTGCCTTGGGTCCCCAGGTCCCGGGTGCAGAGCGGTCCGCGGCCAGGGCGAGCGCGGAGGCTCGGAGCACCCCGACCCGCTCGGTCCCCACCTCCGCCAAAACGCAGGCTGTAACAAGAACCGCCGCGTGCTCAACGTGCCGGGACCAGGCTGTAGCGCAGCCCACCAGACTCACCGCGGGACCAGCCAGGACCAGGAGAGCCCGCAGCTCCTCTCGGAAATCAGGCAGCAGGGGGCAGCGCAGCCCCCGCCGCTCGGAGGTGGCCGGGGTGCCTTCGGGCCCGGGCCCAGACTCCAAGGGAGCCTCCATGCGGCAGGCGCTATGCTGCAGAGGAGCTCCGACGCCCGGGACCAGAACCGCATTGGGCGGGCCCCCCTCCAGTCCCCGCCCCTGGCCGATGCCCCCAGCCAGCCCAGCCAGTCTGCGACTTTGGACGCGCTCCTGCGCCTCTGCACCCCTGTGGACAGCTGCGAGTCCTGCAAAGGCCAGCGAACTCGGAAAACATCGCGGGGGCGGGTGGGTCTCCGAATCTCTGACGCCAGAGCTCGCCGGCCCCGCGCCTCTCCCTTAGGTTCAGGCTCTGAGGTGTGTGCTGCGGAAGGACCCAGAGTCCTCGAGGTGTAACTGGATTGGCGTCCAGCCAGGCTTCGGCGGTGGCCGCTTTGGTGATGTCTGCTGCGCAGCTTGTACTCAGCGCGCGCTTTGATATCTGCTTGGATTTTGCGCTCTTTCCTGCCAGCTGTTCCATTAAAGAATTTAGAATCTACCAGGAAAGAGCAACAAGTGCTCATTTACCAAGTAGCACAGTCGGTGTTTTCAGAGCTTCTGGGATGTTTATCCTTGAGCATGATGGGGAAGAAGCTGTGAGCATCAGATAAATGGAGCTTTGAGAGGTATCTGCCACCTGGGAGCACGAAGACAGCCTGCTCACTGCCCGACCCTGTTTCCTTGACTGTAAATTCACTCACCATTGGTGAGGTGGGGGTTTCATAAGTGGAGGAGCCTGGCACACGATCACTGCCTAACAAACATTAGTTACAGGATCGAGGATGAGTTCTATAATAGCCAAAGAAACTGGAATACAAAAATGTTTTGGCTCATGTAACCAGGAAGCTTTGATTCAAGGACTTAAAAACAAGATCAGTAGGGTTTTCACCTTCCCTCTGCCTTCACCACACCGTCTGTGATTCTGCCCTTGCTTTTATTCATCTCTGCAGCAGCCCCTACCTTCTTGTATGGGGGTCCAGTACCCTCATTCCCTTACTTCCCACCTGGTAGGCCAGAAAGTAAAGCTCTTCTCCCTTCTCTTCTAGCTCCAAACTATCAAACAAAAAGACAAGAAAACTTGATTGGAACTTGCCTAGGCTTCTTGCTCACTTCTGGAACAATCACCCTGGCCAGGAAAACAGGGCCTGTACTATGCACTGAGCCCTGATTCAAAGAGGTTGAATGCTGTCATGACCTTAATCAACCCATCAAAATTGCATGTATGGTGTAAAAAAGTTTTCCCCAAAGAAATGAGAGTTTCTACAAACAAAACTCCTTGAATGTACACTAGATCTCTGATCACTGCTTTTTTTAAAATGACTTTCTTATTTATTGATATTGCAGTGCTCAGGCCTTGAACCTGAACCTATAAGTGCTTCTTGGTCCTCAGATTCTCCTGACACCGTGACATGTAGCATGTGTCTTCTTATGTGCAGATTCAATGGCTTGTTTTTCTTCCCCTTGTAGAATTTCCTGAGATTTTCTTTGAATCTAGTTAATAATGGTGAGAATACAGGCAATGTGTTTTCTGACAGCTTTGATCTCACAGATATTTGGTGTTATGACTTGTGTAAGCCTCATGTGGTCATAAGTAGGGGCTTTTGGGAGGTGGCTGGATATAGGGTGTGTGCTGCTGGGATGTGAGGTTAGGATTGATTCACAGTGCAATGCTAGGATTAAGGGTGTGAGTGCTACCTGCCCTAGCCTGGATAAGATATAAGGGACAGAAAGAGCTGCTGTGTTGCTACTTGCTTGTAGCTTGCTGTTTGCTGCTTTCCGTTTTCTGCTTGCCATGAACTGTTTTTCCTCTGCAAAGCCCCTCTGCAATGCTAACCTGGCTTGGAGCCAGCCAGTTATGAACTGAAACCTCTACAAACTGTGAGCCAAATAAACCTTTCCTCCTTTAACTTTGGATGTCAGGTATTTTGTTTCAGCAACCAGGAAAGTAACTAAGACACTTGGTCATGGTATCACCTGTCACTTTGGGGTTGTGCAGCTAGGACAGCTCCACATGCAGGTCACCCAGCTGTTTCAGCAATTCCTCTTTCACACTTGTACTTGCAAGACTGAGAGCAGAAGATCACTTGAGCCCAGGAGCACAGATGCAGCCTGTGCAACATAGTGAGGTCTTGTCTCTTA